CTTAGCAGCTTCCGTTTCTCATATGTTACATCCAAATGTCTTTCTCTACTGTACAAATATCTGATTAGAAGGTGATCTAAATCATAATCTTTTCAAATGGTTTTCTTCGCAGTTCCCGTATTTGCAGTCGACTAATTGGTTCAACATTCCAGGAGAATGAGAGCACTGAGCAAGCCTTGTTCCCAGAACATCACCTGCAATCAGTTGCATGAACCAACTATACATTCATTCTCCATTCATTTACCAATCTGCATGTAAGACGAACGCATGGCGCACAAAGGATGCCGGAGGGATGACGCAGCATGAATTTACTTCTACCTCCTCTTTGAACTCCTCTATCCCTGCACTAGGCTGACGTACACATATCGGGCGTTGCACATACCCATGGGCTTGAAAAAGCCGTCGCTATAGGCCTACGCCCTTAACCAGTGCACAGATTTCCCCGCATAACCCTCAACAAGACAGAGTTCAGGCGTACAAGGCTTTCATGTACCCTTGACAAACTCCACTAAAGCGATAGCAATCCTTTGATAAGGCGCTACATGCCCTTCTTAGTTTATCGCCACGCTGAATGTTCGTTTGTATTGCAGCTGAAGGGGTGAGAGAACATGGGCCATAGTTTTTTGCAGGATTCCAGTAGGAAATCGAATGCCTACGGTGTTACTTTTTTCGAAGATAAAGGGTCTTTCGGATGTTCAGAGATCAACGGTTAACCTATTTGTAAAGCCGTCATCGTCACGACTGAAGAGATAGAAGAGAAGAATTCAAGAAGAGTGCAGAGTGAGTGCGGGTTGACCGGGCTGTGCAGAAACCAACAAAAGTCGTCAAGGCGGAACCGGAAGGAACTTATGGGCCAACTTACCAACAAGTGAAGCATAATCCTTGGCTCCGCCCCTTCACCTCGTGCTACCTGCTTATTTTTGATTGAAGCGGATGGCGTTGTATAGGGATACACACAAGGGGAATAAGCGACCGCGCCATTGAACACGCTTATGTTAGCCAAAGTGCAATCCCTCAGGGCAACAACAAACCCAATTGATGTGAACCTTCGACATGCTCGATTGGTCACGGACGTTCCCTTACTTCATAAAGGGCTGTTACTTTTCTGGGCCAGTGCATTACTGTATGGCAGTGGAACGGATCCTGCTGTATCCGTTGATGCCCACAACACACTTTTTAGTTGGTCAGCTCATCACTTGTCATTCATCTCTGAGAGCTAGGCAGTAATGGTGCATTGGATATGAGCGTCCCTTGCCATTTTCATCCTTAATGGGATTGTCTCCTATTCGTGCTATGTTTTTCATTACCCCCATCCGACCTTAGCTATTGACAGACTTGTCTAGGGGATGGAAATATTCATCTCATCCTTTAAGAAGTGCTCACCGGCTAACGCAGGGGTTCCAGTGCCTTCGCTCGATGCTTAACCCGAGGAAAGCCCCATAGCAGGCAAAATTCAATGGGCAAGGGCCCATGTCGATCCATTCCTCTCACTTTTTCTTGGGAGTGGGGAGTTGTGGTTGCAAACGAAGCCGTACCGCTTTGACATTTCGGTGTGAATGGGAATTGATGTGGGTGTTGTGAACGATCGGACGATGAGGCATGTTGTCGGGCGATAGAGAACGACATAGCATCAACTTTTATCACATCAACGACCGACCGCTCACAGCATATACACACAGACGTACATATCATCGCATGATTGCTGGTCGGACGGCCAAACGACCGACCGACCGACAGAACGACCGACACACCAGCAGCTGCAATCGAACGGAATGTGCTGAATCGACTATACGATTGCCGTCAAATCGATGCTTCAATCTATGTAAACGGCCGTTAGCCTCAAATTCCAGGTTTTCCTCTCTCTGAACGGCTAACTACAGGTCACTTCCTAATTCTTCCTCAGAAATTCTACTTAAAAATCACTCAGTAAAAATGTTATGTGATGTCAGAGCTACGCGTCATTCTTGNGGAATGTGCTGAATCGACTATACGATTGCCGTCAAATCGATGCTTCAATCTATGTAAACGGCCGTTAGCCTCAAATTCCAAGTTTTCCTCTCTCGAACAGCTTACTACAGGTCACTTCCTCATTCTTCCTCAGAAATTCTACTTAAAAATCACTCAGTAAAAATGTTATGTGATGTCAGAGCTACGCGTCATTCTTGAATTAGCTCTCCGTCGATGGAGACGCACTTTGATGAGCCGAGCCCGGCAGATTAGTATTATAATGTCCTGTCTCGCCTACGACGTAACTGAGATTGTTTTGCAGATTATTTTCTGTTTTCGATATGGTGTGAAGTCGATGCCTCCTCTTCCTCCTCCACTTAGGTGACTCAATGAGCGCAGTCTCGCCGCTGTCGCTTATTAATCGGGGGGTGAGAAGTATCGGAAGTGCATGGCGGCTGGATTGCAACTCGACTCGATGGGATCCCCCGAACACAAGTGGGTGTCACCGGAAGTCTAGCCACCTAGACGTCCATAGCTTGAAAGCGAACTTTCGTGTACTTTCTGTTTTCCAGCTGGTCGGGGTCAGAAGCATGAAAACGGACGTGACAGCTTCTGGACAACTACGTATGCCTCGACCACGTTATGCTCGTTTTTCTTGTTCCCTCTATGCGCCATTTCAAAGGACGGTAATGAGAGCGGCGTGCAGCGGATGCTTCTTCATTCCCATGCGCCGAGCACTTCTTATGAACAGCTCCGGTTGGCCGGCTTGTGGTTTGCGCAGATAAGGCGGGGTACCCCATGAACGACGACGTCAGAAGACGTCGACAGACGAAGTGGAACTACGTACGTCTTCGCAGTCGTCAATGCTCTCTGTCTGTCTGCGCCTCTACTATTTCCGGCCGGTTGGCTGCCATCAGCTGATTAGCATATACGTGTGTGTGTGTGTGTGCGGGTTGTTGTCTCCTCTGATACCGCACACGACCGCTCTCGCCCCGCCCAGATCGATACTACCACTCGGCACCCTCATCTCGCACCTTGTCGCACGCGTGTCCGGGTGGTCCCATGTCGGCGCCCAGTCTCGCCTCGGGCTCCCCTGTCATCGCCATGTATTAGGCCGCCGCCCCAATTATGACAATGTGCCGGTGCCGAAATGAACCCTTAGTGGCAGAAACAAGCGGGTGGCAGCTGCGTTGGAGCGATTGCCTGTCAGTTGCACGACCGCTCTACCCGGTGGGAGACAGCCACTGGTCAGGACACTCTGACACTACACCCGAACTATCTTGTCTTAACGTGTTCATGTACGTTTTGACGTGTCGACACCTGTGAGCGCCCATTCCTCCCGGCGTCACATCCCTGGGCAGTCATGAATCGCCCACAAGGTCTCAGTCTCTCTATGTTGTGCATGCTTCTCTTTCACATCAAAAACCCGAAGCACTTTGGTGCTAAGCGTAAGCCCATACTCGGAGCTGATTGCTCGTCGAGAGCTAAAGGGGGTGTTCACTTAGGGCGGTCATTGAAACTTTACCCAATGCGAAAGCAGCTTGGCCAATTTGGAAAAGGTCTACTTAAAGCATTCGGAGCAACCGCCCAAGTCACATGAGGAGTACAACTAGAAGGATTCATAGGGATTAGTAGGGGATCTTGAAGAATTTCTTAAGAGCTGCTTCATCCACCTCACATCCACTCTCAACTCCCCCTCCCATCACTCCCATTATTAATGTGTTCCGTGAGAGAACCTTCTCAAAGAACCCTTTTTGCTTTCCATTATGGTTCTCACTTACCCAGAAAGGAAGATCATCACTTTTTCAGTACGACACGTCCTTGTTAGTGGCAATTTCTCTGCTTTCTTTGCTTTTTTTATCCATTTCATTTTCTCTTTTCATCCCTATGTGAAGGTGACAGGCCTCCCCATTACTCTCTCCTTCTTCCCGAGGCATTCTGATTCATATTCCTGATAGAATGAGGCCTAAATGGGTCTTGAGTAATTGATACCGCTGCGTGTCTTCTGATAGCGGTAGTTTGCGGCTGTTTTCTAGTATCATTATAATCGCCATGCCGCTGCTCCATGGCAACTGAGATCCTGCCCCTTAGAGGGAAATGGGAAAGAGGGAGCGAGGTGCTCTTGATTCGTTATCCTTGACGATACGCGTACATTTACGAGGNGAGGGATCCAGTGGAAGCTAGCCAACTGACTATGGTGATAAATTGGTCCAGAGGACTCTCATTAGTCGAGGGGAATTGATGTACTGACCTTCAGAACAGCTTGTTTGAACACGACATCTTCCTAGCCTTCTCTACGGCTTTTTGTTGTGTTTCAATCGTTTCCATTAACCTCTTTGTTGCCATTTATCTCCATTCGTTGCCTATAAAATCTCGACGCTTTGATTCATTAAGAAACTAATGAAACACTTATCGGCTGAGGCGAAGATTTGGCTTTCGAATATCGTCGGCTAGGAAAAGGGAAAACGAATTCTGAAAACGGCTGACATCATGCATTCATTATCTTCAAGTCAGTAGTCCCCAACTCTCTGTTTGTATGTACTCACTGGAACATCCCTTTTCTTTGGCGTTCCAGTTACCTTAACTACCTCACGTTTACATTTGTAAAGGTTATCCACTTGAAAAGAATCTCCGGAATCCAGCATGATGTCTTGGACTCGCCAGCACCTTCTTCTAGCTAAGGGCGAGCAGAAAGAGCAGTGGGAGCCTCGCGCGAAAGCTGTAGTGTTCATAGAACAAATGGTGTCAGCAGTTGTTCCATTCGAAGAAGCGAATTTAGGGCGAGAACTTGGTTCCTACAGTAATCCGGCTGTGGGTCATGGTTCGAAGGCGATGCGGCAGGGCTAGGCGGCTAACCATTCAACCTCGGCCCGAGGTCTTTTTTCCATGTGTCGTATGTGACGGGATCAGGACATGTGGGGGGACGGAACGTTCATCCAGATCTGGAAGGACGCGGCAAATGGCGCGGTGAGATTCGTGGCATTTAGGGCGACTTTGGCACCTATCATTGGGGCGTTGTAGTAGAGTACACTTGTATGGCCAGTATAGTGTAGTATGATCGTACTAATCTATTCTACTTCGAATTCGGGCCTCAACGATAGGAGCTGAAGTCGTACAAATCGTCACGGACTTCGCCGCGCAATTTGCCATGCGCGTCTTCGGACGCACCAGGTGATCGTTCCCCACCCATACCTAGGCGTGTGTCGTGGAATCAAACATATTGTCTGCGAAGTTCTGCGTCCATTAGGTCATTGTAAAAACCGAGCTCTCGTATTAAAAGTTTGTTCTTCTGTTCCTTCCGAACCTTGCTAATTTCCTATTACCAACACCTGATTAATGGAATCATCCTGTACTCCGACCTAATGATGCTGCTAAAAATACACTCTACAATTTTTTGCAAAAACCAATTTATTCTTACAGCAATAGGAGAAATAATTGGCGAAATTACTCATCTTCAACAAGTTTGAATTCCCAAGTAAGCGGCTATTAAAATGAAATCATGTCAATTCTGCTGACAGCATAGACAATTACTCTCTTAGAATAGGTCAGTCTGTTCGCGAGCAGTGCTTGATCAGCTTCCAGCTCACCTTGTGTGAATCATTTTTTCATTTTTTCTTTTGACGGATTTTTTCTTAGTAGAATTAAAATGCAGAGGTCTAGAGCTTTTGAGGTGATCTAATCTTCTTTTGCTTTTTTTCTTCATTCTCCCATTCATTTACTAGTTATAGTACAGTAGCCTGAGGCGTGATTGGTATTTTGAAGCTTGCGGCAAACTTCCTTTTTGCTAAGCTTATCATGGTCTTAGGCCAGAAGATTTGCCTAGTGATAATCTTGATCCGCTCACAGCGTATGACGTTGCCTGGCTAGTTGCCTCGCTGCATCCCTAGCTTGGCTATTCGCGTTGGTTAGTTGTCTTAAATCAATGCACTCCGTCCGAGACTTTTGCCGATTATTTGAATAAAAAAGCTGTGATTCATGCATTGATGAAGAGATGTACATGTCGACGAGGACGGCTGTTCGTGATCGGTGGGCGACCAGTACGCAGTTGAAATGTCATTTCTTTTCAGCTGTTTTTCATCGGTGTACCCAGAAATTGCTGTCGTNCCAGAAGATTTGCCTAGTGATAATCTTGATCCGCTCACAGCGTATGACGTTGCCTGGCTAGTTGCCTCGCTGCATCCCTAGCTTGGCTATTCGCGTTGGTTAGTTGTCTCGAATCAGTGCGCACCATTCCAGACATTTGCTCATAATCTGAAAAAAATTGTGATTCATGCATTGATGAAGAGATGTACATGTCGACGTGAACGGCTGTTCGTGATCGGTGGGCGACCAGTACGCAGTTGAAATGTCATTTCTTTTCAGCTGTTTTTCATCGGTGTACCCAGAAATTGCTGTCGTGCTTTTTGAATATGTAAAGCTTGTCACGCACACTGACCAATATCTCATCTCCATGCTTTCGTACATCCCAAAAAGCATTCGGAGCAATTGCTGAAGTAATCCATTACTGGTTTTATAGATAGCGTTTTATAGGAGGTGGAGGTAGTGTAGTCGCAAAAGGCGCACTTCACACACGCATGGTCACGGGTTCGAATCCCGGATCTTTATCCGCCTAGGCCCACCAAGCCTTCCATTCCTTCAGGGCCGGTCAACTGGTACCAGACTCGTCTGGGAGGATGAAAGTACTGTACATCGGCTGGCCACCGCAAGTCACTTATTAGCCACATAGCATTCAATACGCTACTGATTGTAAGGTTCTGGATGGAAGTCGAATTCGTGGCTGCTCCCTCTGACGTGATTGGTGAACACCCCACGACTTTATCCTGTATCCTTTATAGATAGCACCCCAGAAAATTTCACTGATCATTAATTTGTACACGCCCAAGTTACGGTCATACTTGCAAAGCTGGCCTAAAGGCGGAGTTTGAAGGTGTTGGGAGACATAGTANATATTGAAGAGACGGAGAATGGTAGAGAACATCGACAACATCATGTTTCATTTTGAAGTATATCAAGTTCTTTTTTCCACATTAGCCTCACTTGATTTCTCGCATTTAGTCGTTCATAGAATTGCAGGATGATCTTAATACTATTTTTGAAATTGATTAAAAATCATGCTGTTATCCGAAGACGAACTCGTTATTTCCCTTCTGACAAAGAGCTTAGTAGTGCGTAAATCCCGTCACGATTCTTCTTACGAGATAATCGAAGCTAGTTTTGAGTTCATGGCATGTAGCAGTCGGAAATACATCATACATACTATTTAGCTATATTACGGCCCCATGAGACATATGGAATAGCTTCCACGGTTTAGTCTCCTGGAGTCGATTTCTGGCTTTGAAATTTCCGTTTTTGTACCCTCAAGCAAAGGGATCTCGACATAGAGCACCAGTTCCCAAATACTGATAAAGCATGTGTCTTGTATATGCTAGTATACACACTAGCATGTTAGCCATGAATATTTCTCGGCAGAATAAGAGCCAAGTCAGGTGTCCATACTAGACCTTGACCAAATTGTTTTATTCTATAGACATTTATATTTTCACAGTGGGTTTGATCGGTCCTAAAAGTGTCGTTCGACCACACCATTCAAGCATGTTCTCGAGGGGTTGGTCTAGGAGATTCCGGACTTTCTTTAGCGGATCATAGAGCACATTCAACTGTAATTAGGGATAAGCAGTAACATTGAGTCTGTTATGAGTTTGAGGTCAATTTTGAATAGAGATCCTGTTCGGTGTATTCCAGGAAAGTAGCTTTTGTAGAATAAAAAATAAAAACATGGTCAGCAGGCAGCATTCGTTTTTCAGTCAGACTAGGTTTCTGCTTGCCGTTGTGTTCGCAGAAGCAGCGATTTGATGTCATTCGGTTAGAGAAGATTTCACTTATGGTTGCTCCAGAGTAATGAATTACCGTGTTCGCAAATTTCTTAGCAGTTAGTTTAAAGTAACGGATCATGCAGAGTACTGTACTCTTCGACTCTCACAATTGGACAAGATCAATAGCTATTCTTAGCATTACAATATTAGCGGTCACGAAGTTCATTCCCTATGGTATTGCTGTGGATATGCTAGACTGCAATTATTGGCATGACGCTGGACATACCAATTAGTTGTCCTGCTCCAATTTCTTCTTCTACTAATATTAGAGTCAGAGTCAGGAATCAGTGAAAGAGTGCGTGCTCTGCGTCTCTGACCTCGGCAATGTACCCGTTACTTAAGGTACCGTGCAAGGCAGTTCTTGTTATACCATCTCGGGATTGATTGGCTACGGTAATCGCTGATCATGTACAGAATAGATTTTGGCGTTCATTTAAAGGTTGTGCAACTTTTCGTGAACACCTGGTCTGTCAAACGACGGGTAACCGAGAGTTGTGAATCACTGCTCCGTGTGGCTTCGAAAAAACAACGTCAATAGTGAAAAGTTGCTGGAATAAGAAGGGCCGCGGAGCTTGCTCGGCTCTCATGCACCGAACTCTGGCAGCTCATCAGAAGGGCGACTTTTTTGCTTATGCTTCGTTGGACTTCAATGGCTTAACTGACTACTCATAACTCATATTGATATCAGTCTTCAACATCAACTTAAACATGTGAACCACTTTTTTTGTCAGTCAGTGTCGACCAACTGCTGAGCTTCACTAATAAGGGTTGATCTTTTCTGCTTTTTGGTCAGGGACCTTTTCCTTTTCCAAAACTAAAGCCTTTTTGTTCTTTTTCCTTCCTCTTCCTGCTTCTTCCTTCTTCTTCCTCCTTACTCCTTCTTCTTCCTTCTTCTTTCTTCTTCCTCTTTCTTCCATCTTCCGCGTTCCTCCTTATTCTGCCTTCCTCTTCCTCTTTCTTTCTTCTTCCTTCTTCTGCCTTCCTCTTCCTTATTTTTCCTTCTTCTTCCTTCTTCTGTTTTTTCTTCGTTCTTCCTTCTTCTGCTTTCTTCTGCCTTCTTTTTCCTTCTTCTGCATTCTTCTGCCTTCCTCCTCCTTCCTGTGCTTTCTTCGACATTCTTCTTCCCCTTTCATCCCTCTTTCTTCCTCTTCCTTCCTCTTCCTCATTCTACTTTTTCTGCCTTCTTCTTTCTTCTTCTGCCTTCTTCTTCCTCTTTCTTCCTTCTTACTTCTTACTTCTTCCTCTT